GTAATGGGGTCTGGTGCCCTCTTCTGGCCTGCAGGCATACACACAGACAGAATATTGTATACATAATAAATAAATTTTTTTTTTAAAAAAAATAAATAAATAAATAGAAGGAGAAATCTGGGAGGAGGAGAGAGGATGCTAGGGGCCAGTCAGTGAGCCAGCCACGGAATAAGAGTAAAAGTAAGATTACAGGAGTAAGAAAAGGAAAAAGCCCAGAGGCAAAAGGTAGATAATTTAATTTAAGAAAAACTGGTTAGAAACAAGTCAAGCTAAGGCCGGGCATTTATAAGAAAAACTAAGACTCCATGGGGGAGTTGGGTGGCAGGCCCACCCCAAGCCAAAGGAATAAAATGAGTAAAAAGAGTACAACAAAAACAAATCTTTAAAAAAAAGATGTTCTATGTCTCAGAAAAAGATGTCATGACAGCCAGGCCGTGGTGGCACTGGTCTTTAATCCCAGCACTTGGGAGGCAGGGGCAGGCAGATCTCTGATTTCAAGGCCAGCCTGGTCTACACGAGCTAGGTTCAGGACAGGCTCCAAAGCTACAGAGAAACCCTGTCTCTCGAAAAACCAAAAATAAAAACCAAAAAAACCAAAACCCAACCAACAAAAACAATTCCCCCCACCCCGAAAACAAAAGATGTCATGACAAAGATCAACGAGGCTAAAGAGGGACAGAAGCCCATTCCTGTCTGATTCCATTGCCAAAGCTCATAAATATGTCTCCTAGTCATGTTCAGAATTACCCAGACAGTATTTACTTACCACTCCGAGGACGGCTTTTCCTCAGCCGGTAACAGTCCAGGCAGACCCCAAATCCACATTTGCGACAAACCCAGTGGATGTTGAAGAGAGTCGTCTCACAGACATCACACATCTCCCGCACTCCCCGCACAGCTCGCTTCCAGGCCACTTTCTCTGGTGGAGAAGAATGCAGTGGCAGTGACTCCTGGGAGTCAGCACAAGACCCCAGAATGCTGACTGGCACTCATGGCATTTTGTCCAGTGATAAAAATTCTAAATACAAACAGGTTTCTATAATTCTAAGAGAAACAAATACAAATACATGGACCACTTAATGTTGTCAGGGAGTTGCAGTGACAGGAGGTGATATGACAACCTAGTGCTGATGCACAATGTCACATGTCATCAGTTAACAGCGAAATTCTAGCTGTGCTGTGATTCCTGCATTTTGAAGATGGAGGAAGGAAAATTAGGAGTCTAAAGCCAGTCTGGGCTACATGAGACCCTGTCACAAAAAATAAAATAGATAGTATAAAATCTTTAGTTAGGGAGAACTTGACAAAGAGAATTTTTTCCTTAAAATTTAAAGTATAAATTCATAGTATAGTTTCCCTTGGTTTGGGAATAATATGCAGTATATTTGCATTGTTTCTCTGTAATAATGAGGATTCTAGGTGAAAAATAAAGTATTAAATGGCACCACATCTCAACAAACCATTGGTACTGATGCAAATTTGTTTAAAGCAAATGAAATCAGGATGACTCAATCCCAATGGGGTATCCAAAAGCTTCTGTTGGCAGATGTATGACAAACAAGAAAGGCACATTAAGAAGGAGTTTCTGATTTACTAAGTGTCAAAGACTGAAAAACTGAGATCTGTTAGGTACGTTTCTGATTTTGATTATAGGCTACTACAAGGAGGAGTCTAATTAGTCTTAATCCATCTACAGTAGATGCCTTCTCCATCCACTAACGCTCTCTCTCAAGTAGAGAATAATCAACACTGCATGCAAGAGCAGCTGGAAACAAGTAGAAGGGTGCCTTACGGTGTGGTTCCACCATCATCATGGCCTCCTTCTCAGACATTACAAGCTGGCAGAACTGGTCTCCAACATTGGCCAAGATGTATTTTGAGGTTTCTAGGTCTATTCCTTCTGCTAGGGAAGAAGAGGGAATCCACAGGTTCATAGCATCAGGGTCACTCTGCTGAGGGCTTAGAAATCCTTCTACACGGAGTACCCCCTTGCGAGTGAAGACCAACCTAAGAAGACAAAAAGGAGACAAGTCAAATACTACTGTCCCTTGGGAACTGAGGAGAACGGTTAGAGGCCATACTTCCTAGTGGGCCACGCTGCCTACTCCCCTACTAAAATCTGTGGCTGATCAAGACCCTTATAACATACTGCATTTTTACTACATGTTTTTGCATATTCCTTTAAGTCACAAGCAGGTTACTTATAGTACCTATATAAATATTATAACATTTACATATAGTATTACTATAATACTTAGTTTTATATTTTATTTAAACAGTATAATACTGTACTATTTAAGGACTGGGGAGGGGAAATGAAGGGATGCACGACAGTGAGATGGCTCAATGGGTAAAAAGCACTTGCTGCTAAACTTGACAATCTGTGTTTGATTCCCAACCACTTCTTCAAGTTATTCCCTGGCTGCCAAATGCCACACACAATTTAAAAAAAAAAAAAAAAAAAAAAAAAAAA